AAGTTCTAGGAAATCTGTGTTTTTTAATTCAATTAAACACCCATTAATCATATATAAATATATATTGTAATACAAGATTTTTATAATTAGATTGAGTTTTTGACAGCACAATTAATGTAGAATAAACATTTGATAGGATCAATCATGAATTTAACTGATCACACCTACTTATCTACAATTGTGCTTTGGTTTGTTTTGCGTGTTTGATGTATATTTCACATTGTTCCCCCCCCCCCCCTTTTTTTTAACTTTTTGTTATCTTTTGAGGTGGCTATAGTTGAATCCCATTGGGATATGATGAAAGCAAAGCAATAATAGAGGAGTGAAGCGAACTCCCAAATGGTGATGCTAAAAGAGACTTGAAATTGCAAGAGAAATAAGCACGGACAGAAGAACATGACAGTTGGAGGAGAAGGAGAGAAAGAGAGAATTGTTTGAAAGGACAGATCATAATCAACCGGTTTCATAAATTCAGGAATGAAGAATTCAACAAAATGAAATACTGGTCTAATAACCGAAGTTTAATTCAAATAATTTATTCACTTTCTTTTAAAATATGGAATTTTACAAGATTAAATTTTGATTTTTAACACTTATAAATTTTTTTCTTGGTTTGTACCTTAGGCTTTAACCTCATTTATGAAAAAAAAATAATTAATGTTTGTAGAAATAAAACATATATCAAGGAGATGAAAAAAAAAAAAAAAACTGGAAGATGAGAAGGGGACAGTGGTGGGATGTGTGAATCCATCTGTATGCATTTATTGTAGGGGCTGTTCTATCCCATTCATTCAAGTTGTTCAATAGCCTCTCATTGTGGTAGCACGATTTGGCCATAGATTCAAGTTAGTGTGTAAAGAAGTGGGGGACCAAAGTTTGGTTGCTGGGAGAATTTGGATCTAGCTATGAATAATTTGAGTTGTCCTTTTTAACATATATATATATATATATATATCATTTGATATAGTAATAGTAAAGTTTTTTAATTTGACAAATGGATTAAAATGAGGACACAAGTTTCATTTTTTTTAAATTAAATTTTTTTTATTTTTTAAATATACATTAAGACACATGTATCATTATTTTAATCTTATCAGTGAGAGTTACAAATTTTTACTGTTAATGTATTTAGTAATTTTATAAATATATGGTTATTTGACCCTTTTTCTTTTTTTTGGTTATCCCAACCATGATATTAAAGTTCATTGAGCTGTTATAGTTAATTATGAAAGAATAATATTGGAGAATTAAGAAATCTATCATGATATAAAAGGGAATGACTGAACAAATTATGGTGGCAATCTATCATTTCTTCAAAGCCAGCCAAGAACACCCTCACCCCAAACAGATTGACCTTCAAAATACCTTCAAAATAGGAAATTTTGAAGGAAAAAAAATGGGTTTCAGTCAAAGGCAGGAATTCCAATTCCTTTATAAAATCTAGAATTAATCAAGAATTTTCTTCCCTGGCAAATTCATAATTTTGCACCAATCTCAATGCAATTAATATGTTGACCCTTCATGAAAATATATAGTTTGCTTAGTATGACAAAGTAATTTGAAGTAGAAGTTGGAACATTTTTCTCTCCACATTACTTTTTATCTTCATCAGAAAAAAAAAAAAATCCAAGGAAAGCCCCATAGTATGGCACCGACAAACTTAAGCTGTTTGGAAAGCAAGAAAAAAACAGTATCCATGCAAATCTACATGCATTCAGCTACCAAAAGTTACCCCCCCCCCCCCAAAAAAAAAAGTAAACATTAATGTGAAAGCAATAGTCATGTTAATTAGGAATTCATAAATAAGTCTTGTTAATTTGCAATAGTTTTTTAATAAATTCCTTATCTAAATCCACAACCCCCAAAACCCCACCTCTAGATATCAATTCTCACATTGAAAATGCATTTAAAATTTTATTTTTTAAAATTTTCAAAAAAAAATTTTTTAAGAACTAAATGGGCATGAAAAGCTATATATCAGCCATACTTATCTTGATTCTGTGGAGTTATCTGTTATCCAAAAATGACATGAAACAGATATAGGATAAGCATAGGATTAAATTTGGAATCAAGCTTACCAAACATTGATGATTTGATAGAAATTTCACATTAATCAAGATCTCATAGAGATATGACACATTCTGGATTTCTTTTTTTTTTTTTGTTATAATGGGCAGTCCATGCCTTAATTATATTCCATATAAATGATTATAAAAAGGTAAAAAAATTTTCAAATCTTAATCTAAATCAATTTATTCATATAATCACCTTTAAAATGTAATATCCAAATTTAGGGTTCAAATCCGAAAATCTACAGCCTATTTTTCTATTCTCAAACTGCAATCTCTTTTGTATATGATAAGAAAATTTGTTTTTAAGTTGTATGTGTAAAAATAAAGATAAAACCAAAAGAAAAAAAATAAATATAAATAACAGACAAATAATATTCTTTAAAATATTTAATTTGATTGATATTAAACATTGTGATTCAAGTTAGCACTTTATTTGGATTAATCAGAAGAATGAGTAAAGGCAATTAAACGTTATTAGGAAGTTTTTAAAAAGTTTGGGTACTAACTTTATATCTTTAATTGAAAATTTTTTTTTTTAATTACAATTGAAATTTAAACTCGAAAATCTTTAGTATTAAAACCGATTTCAATATCATGAAGCTACCACAGTTCATTGATAAAATCAATTAATAATTTACCTCATTTGCATTTTCATTAACCTAGGATCAATCAAGAACCTTTAAAGAGTACTTAATTCTATTGTAATAATGATGTCAAGAGTTTATTATTGAAGTCATTGTTTTTAATATTTCTTATAACATGCGTTTGATAATGCAATTGATTAAAGTCACTTGGTGGGTCTTTTTTTTTTCTTTCATAAAAATTAATTTCAAAATTTTTTAACTATAAAGTGGTAAAGGAGGGATTTCATTTCAATTAAGACTTTCAAAAGTCTAAAAATGAATTTACTTGTTTGGGTTAAAAAAAAATTAATTTTAGGTTAAATTTAAAAATTGAATTTGAAATTAAAAAATTTAAGAAAGGAAAATATCATTTTATTTAACAAATATTTTTTATTTTTATATTAAAAAATCTTTATATTTTCACAAATCTAATGATACTCATATTAAATATTTGATTTATACATATGTATTTTTATCTTTAATATCATTATTCTTCTTTTAAAATTACTTTTTTATCACATCAAATTTCAATATACTCAATTTATTTCTAAGAAATATTTATTCAAAAAATTAATTATAAATGCTAACATTTTGATATGATGTATTTTAAAATGTTTTTATTTTTTAAAATTTTTAATCCAAATGTACTCTTAAACTATCAAAAAAAATCCTTTATTATCTAACTATATCATGCCAAACTAATTGAAGTCCTAACATGTTACACAAAATTATCTAGTTGTCTTTTATCCAGTAAACTTGATAGTCAAAATTTAATACTTACCATTTTTATTTTTCTCTTCAAAATACGATCTCTTTTATATAAAAAAAAATTATTTAATTGTTTGTAAATAAATCCTTCTGTTAATATTAAAGATGAAAATATAATTACCATATGAGATTTTTAATTTCCTAATCTCATTAAATACCTAAAATTAATTGATTGGTAGCTTTAATCAGCCCACTTGTGAATAGAAACAATGAGACAAATATCAATTACTATGGTTTTGTAATTGTCATCCAAATCTCAATTCCATTAACTAATTTAATCAACTTGCACAAAACTATAACGTCGCACCAAATACAAATAAAAAATAAGCATTTCCACTTAACAAGGAATCAATCAAAAATTAATTCAATTGATAATGATGTTTCTTGAATTTAAATCTTATCAATAATATGAAGTGATTCTTACCACTAACGTTTTTAATTTATAAATAATTAAATCGAATTAATTTTTAAAATGAAAAATGGTAACATTACATTATAAGAACAAAAAAAAATTTCTCAAGTATAAAATAATTATAACAAAAAATTTTGTACAAATTTAAAATATGTTATTTCATTGAAAATACAAAAAAAAAAAAAAAAAAAACGTAATGTAAGAAACGGGTCCCACAAGAGGATTATTCACTTACTTATTACTACCACTCCCACGAATTGTTGTCCGTACAGATACGCCGGCTAAAGAAAGAAGCGGACAAAAACAAAGGTAGCATAGCAAAACGGGAAACCATAATTGGGCCCCACAAACGTGGGCGAGCAGGAAGAGGGCTGGAGGAGAATCCTCTTTTTCTTTTCTTTTTTTAATTTAATTTAAATTTGTTATTACTTCTGAAAAAAAGATCTCACACTTCACACGTGCGAAAAGGCAGTGGGGTCCATGGTTGGGTCACGTTCATAACGGGCTTTCACCTGTTTTTTTTTTTTTATAATTGTTGATGGCTTCTTGGACCGTTGTGATCGGCTTACGTGGCATAGATTACATGGAGCTGATACGTGGCAGATATGCCCCATGTCAGGTACTCAGGTAAAAATCACAGCCACATCGATTTTCGTTAAAAACACTAAATCCCACGTTTGACGGACCGAAAAGGGCATAATGAAATTCCCTTAATACCCCTCCAAATATGCTTCATAGGTACATCCACTGGATCAAAAAACGGAGTATATAAAATTAAAAAAAAAAAGTTACATTGAGGAAGGGTCTTTACCCCTTTCCTTTGTCTAGTTTTTATTGTAAAAATAAAAAAAATATATTTTATATTTTCAGTATAATCTTTTAACTTTCATAAATCTAATTTAAAAATTGATATATTTTATTTTTTATTTAATTTTTCATTTTTAATATTTCTTAAAAACATATATGTTTAATTTTGTTTATAAATTTTAAAAATTACACTAACAAATAATGAAATAATTTTTCAAAAATAAAAACACTGAAAAAATGGAGAAGAATTTGTATAGTAACCAAATCTAAGCACAAAATCTGCCACCCCATTTTTTTTTCTAATTTTGCAAGGAAAATTTGATTCTCTCTCTCTCTTTCTCTTTTATTAGTAAACAAAAACAAAGTGTTTTTGACTTTCTCTCTCTATCAAAACCAAATGCCTAAATAAACCCTTCTCTATCTGTTTTCTTTATTTTTTGCATGCTCATCGTCTGCTTTCCTTGTTCTCTCCTTCTTCGAAGCCAAAGACTCTCTCTTCTCGACCACTTCCCTTGTATCTCTCCCTTTCTCTCTATATTTCTATATTATTCCTTCTCTTAGGAAACTTAAAGAACAACAACTACTACTAAACATCAAAGCAAAGCAAAGCAAAGCAAAAGGAAATCACGTAGAAGCAAAGAATCGAAAGCCAACAGCTTTATCCAATGGCAGTTGAAGCTCCTCATATGAATCTTTTCCCTCCTCAGTTAATCACCAACAGGTATATATCTCAAAATATATGTCTCCTTTGCTGTATTAATAATGGGTTCGAGTTTTTTTTTTTTAAACATGCGGTTTCTTTTTTTTTGTAGCAGAGATTTTTTCAAAACAAATCAAGGGAGTGGCAATATATACAATACCCAGATGGATTCTTGTGTTCCTTTGGTTGATACAATGCATGAAGCTTCACAGCTTTTTCCATTAAATCAATCCCTTGTTTGTGATCCAATTTCTGCCAAAACTTCAATCAATAAAGCTGATAGTGGCCTTACCTATAATATGAATATCCCAGTTTCAGCTCCTAGAAAAAGGCCTAGAGATTCATTCATCAACGGCTTTGATTCATATATAGTCCCTCAAAAGAACAAAATTTCCGGTGTTTCCTCTGTTCTTGACGATGATGTGTTCTCACAAATCCAACAACAACACCAAGAAATCGACCGTTTCATTGCTGAACATGTAAGTTTTCTAAAAAAACCAACTTTTTCTTAATACAGCTGTTTCAATGAAAAAAAAAAAAAAAAAACCCTTCTTTCCTTTTTAATGCTCAGTTAACATGGCAATTTATTGATATGAACTTTTTTTATTTTTGCATTAATTACAGACAGAAAAAGTGAGGTTGGAACTCGAAGAAAGAAGAAAGAGACAATCTACAATGTTGATTACGGCAATCCAAGAAGGGGTTGTGAAGAAACTGAAGGAAAAAGATGAAGAGATACAAAGAATGGGGAAACTAAACTGGGTTCTTCAAGAAAGGGTGAAAAGCCTATACATGGAGAACCAACTGTGGAGAGATTTGGCACAAACAAATGAAGCGACGGCCAATTCCCTACGCACCAATTTAGAACAAGTCCTGGCTCATGTTAGCGAGGAACGCCATGTGAGCGGGGGAGGCGCAGCCGCGTTGGCCGATGATGCAGAGTCTAGCTGTGGCAGCAGTGATGAAGGCTGGCGCAAGGTTATTCCACCCCAACCACAAGGGCAAGGGCGTGGCTGTGTCGGTGGTGATTGTGGTGCGCAGGATAAGGCGGTGGTGGTTGGGAATAATAGGAAGTGTAGAAAGTGTGGTGAGAAAGAGTCAAGTGTGCTGTTGCTGCCATGCAGACATCTTTGTCTTTGTACATTGTGTGGGTCCACCCTGGTATGCAGTTGCCCTGTTTGTGATTCTGTTACCAATGGCAGTGTTCATGTTAACATGTCATAAAAAAAATCTCTCTCTCTTTTGTAGAGTTCTCAGTGAAAAAAAAAAAAAAAGGCAAATGCAAATATCTTTTTAGAAATGGATCACAGAAAAAATTTTCATTATTAGTATCTGTTTCATCTCATTCTTTTCCTATTTCCTTTCTCTCTTATTTTTTGTTCCTTTCTTGTTCAAGCATCTGTTTTTACCATTGAGAATGGTGATTTCTAGTAGTAAGAAGAAGGCCAACTGGTGAGAGTTGCTGCCTGTAAGAGTTCTGTTTTTACTAATTCATTTTGCAGCCAAAGCCACAAAACTTGAACAAGAAAGGAACATGCCAAACTGTGTAAAGTAAAATTGTCAAAGTTAAAGCATTATTGTTCGCTTACTAGGTGAGGACAATTATTCATTTTCTGTTCACAACCCTTTTTTTTCTACTTTATTTTTTTTTTAAAGAATGGGTTAAGAGTCTTGACTCTTGAAGGTAGATATTAATTGATTTTGAGGGGTTGGCCTTGTTGGTTCTTAGCTTCATTCATTGATTCATTCCATTACTTTTCTTGAAGCTTGAAGGATCCTCTTATGGTGGTGGTCACAGGCTATTTCCCTTTTATTGTGTGTTTTAAATTACCAATCCCTTTTTTGCCCCCTTGGAAAGGGCATTGTGGGGTTGGTCCTCCCACACACCCACACTCATCAATTTGTACCAAATCTCTTGAATCCAAAGTTCTATCTTTGCATTCATCTAACATACAAGACAATGGGGAAAGGGTGAATTGACACAACGGATTTATTGAAGGCTATGAAAAGTTTTCTTTAGAGTAAAAACCAATTATCTTGACTTAACCAAAAAGATGATTTTGGTAGGCAATCTAGTAAATGAAAACCAATATCTAAAGCTATCTTAGGTGTCCCCTTCTCAACTTTTTTTTTTTATTTTAAAGAATTTCAATCACTATTTATTTCTAATAACTGGTCTTCTTTTCAATCAAAAAGCAAAAACTGTGATTTTAGTTTGTACTTACTCCTCAACTCAAATTAGATGAAAATGAAATGATTGATATGCCCCAATTTTCTCCCCATCTTTTTCCCACTCATTTTCTTTTTCACCTTTTCCATGTCTCTTGTTTCTTAGTCCAAATTTCTTTATTTTATAAAGCATGAAAGGCACACATATTTTTAAGTGAAAGATGGCAGAAATATTTCCATTCACTTGTCATGTCATTACTATTTTCAGCTCCCAAAAACTAAGATTATTATGCTGTAATCATAATTAAGAAATACTAAACAAATTATCACCCCAAGCACTTCCTCACAAAGATTATCACAGTACAAAATATTGTTGCTTTTAGAATGCTCTTCTTCAACTTTATCTTTTTTTTTTTTTAATATTTTAGGTGAGTTGGTGGGCTGCTCTGAATTCTCATTTCCTTTGAATAGGAATTTTCAAAGAGAGGCAAAGTAATTATGGGACTCAACTTGGTACCCAATAGCCAAGGAATTAAAGCTATCATTTTTAGGCAAGCAAGCATTAGATGCCTTTCCTTTCACATGGAATTAACCCTTGGAAAAGCCTGTCAGCTCATCCCTTTCCTTTGAATGAGTAGTTTTTAAGTGCTACCCACTAGTTAGATAAGGTTGCCTTGGCTTCTCTTGGTACTTGATGTACAATATATACCTATCTCTATCCAATTATCTAAGAGAGGTTTGGTTCCTTAGCTTTATTATTGGTCTCATTATTTGATTGAGAAATTAAAACATTTCTTTGTTGTTAAATATGAATAAATATATCATCCATTTTTAAATACTTAAACTAATAGGATATAGGGTCTAAATATTTTTTAAAATTTTAATACACTTTTTATTTAAAAGTTAAATAAATAATTAATCAACAATCATATAATTTGTTGCTAGTTAAATTTTTAATTTTAATAATTAAAATTCAACAATTTCAAATATAAATAAATAACTAATAAAAAAAAAGGCAGAGTGGATGAGGTAAATAAGAGAACGTGGCAAGTAGGAAGTAGGTGCTGACACGTCACACGAGAAACGGACACTGATAATAAATTTTCAAAGATGACAAATACAACAACATCAATACAGTACTGCATAACAATAACATATGCAATGTATATGGAAATCTGCATGGCAATAAATTTTGCTTCAAAAGAAACAGCGTAAAATACAAGGGAGAGAGAGAGACAGAGAACAGAAAATTAATATTATAATCTTCGAAGAAGACCAATCAAGAACTATAATTTTCTGTCTCTCTGTCAGCGTTAACCCCACAGGCACAGACCTTGGTATGCGTGATCCAGAGGCAACTCCTTCCTCTCCTTCCCATACACACCTCAAAATTAGCACCATTCATTTCATTTCATACCTTCTTTCTCTCCTTTTCAATCTTTATATAGAGACCCCTGATATATAGACGAGTCAATTGAAAGGTCCATTTCAGAAGGCACATATGTCATGCTTATAGACCAAATTGAGAAATGAAAGCTGATTTTTTTTTCGTCATTTTCTCATTTGGATGGTATATATCAGGCACTTTCCAAGGGAGGTGAATCCAAATTCCAAACCCTTTCCAAAAGAAAAAAAAAAAGAACCCTAGAAACACGCCGAGGACCTGCAGCAAAGGTGTACGATAGTGGGGTTGGCGAGGGGTGTTGATGTAAGCGTGAGAGAAGATCATGCGTTGATGCTGCAGCCTTGCAGTGCAGATGATAATAACACTCTTCTTTTTCTTTTTCTTTTCTGTGCTGCTGTTGTCAGAGAGCTGGATGCTAATCTTGGAGGGTGCAAAGCCGACAAAATCAGAGAAAAGGTTAAAGAGAGAGGTGAAAAGCAACCAGTAAAAATTAGGTTTAAGGCAGGAACAGTGCGGTGTACGTGGGGGTAACGCACAGACAAACACCAGAGAAAAAAGAAGACCATAACCTGCTAATTTTGGCACCTTTGTGTGAGTTTAAGTGTGTCCTATAAATTATTTGACCTCTCAATAATCACAAAACCCTTTCATGGGGCATCCATGTGAATGGACTTTGCTTTAACCTCTCCTTTGTGGGCTCCCTTCTGGGTTTTGACACGTGTAATATTCTTTATCGTCCTTGTTTACTGTTCCCCTTCTTCCATGCTATGTCATGTTTTTGGGCCGCATTTCTTGATATTTCAAGTTTCATCTTATTTAGTATTTGATTAAAATCGCTTTCTAGAATTAGTCCTTAAAGTTTATCGTCAAAGAAAAAACATGTAATAGACCTAAAAATAAGGTTGAAGAAGGCATGGTCTTAGCTAGTAGTGACACTGTTATTTCACTTACTATTACATGAATTATTAAATTTACTTTCGAAATTAGGCAGGTTTTCTATGTGAAGGAATTTATGTATAGTAAGGAAAAGGTTAATATAGCAAGGATGAAGTGAGTACCAAATGAGAGACATGTCAAAGGTATACTTTAAGAAAGTAGATGTGTCATTTGCCCTTTATATCTTTTAAGGATAAAAATTTAGTACATTACTTAATAGAAAATTGATTTTGATGTATGAATAAAGTAGATGAGAGAGTTTCTCCTTGTTTTTGGTGAATGATAAAGAAACTAAGCTACAACTCATGACATTGAAGCAAAGAAATTTTGTGATGTTGGTGGGAAATTTTCACTCAATGACTACATGTTTGCTGGTCGGCTGCATTTCCGATCAAACCCATAATTCTCGAAGGGAAACTTTCCTTTGAAAACTGGGAAATTTTATCTTCCAATAAGAGTTTTAACAAATGATCAAGGTCCAAGTCTACACACACACACAAAAAAGGAAGCTTCCTTTGTGATATTGTATTGCATGAAGAGGAGACAATGTCTCTCAAATATGAAGCATAATTCAACATGAAAGTCAAAACTGATGCCGCCTCCAAATTAGACTGTCTAAATGTTCCTTGTTCCTTTTGGAAAGTTTGATTCATACTTCATATACCTTCAATGAAGACAATTTTGTAGCTGTCAATTTCACCAAAAATATGCTTAGGGTCAGGGAAAGCCTAATCACATGCGCACAGTCACAATGTGTTGGTACTTAACCTTCCAAATCACCTAATTAATTGAAATAATACGATGATTAGATTCATTTGCACATGTTACTTAGTGATTTGCCCCATTTAACCAAACCAAGAAACTCGAAATTTGAATTTCAAATTAACTAATTTCTTATTTTTTGTTTTTGAGAATGTAAGTGACATTATATCTCAATTCAACCTAAATTTCTTTAACATAATATTTGATTGTTTATGATAAATTTAAGGAGCAAGTACACTCACTTAAAAGTTTTAAAAGTTTATAGGAGAAGTGACTCAATTCTAAGGTTATCGCATGTGCAGGTTTCTTTATCGAAGATTTACATTGAATTAATAGATTGTTTATCAATGGATGATTATTGATAGTGAAAATCGAATCTAAGTCTATTTCAACGAAGTATTTGATTTTTTTCAACTGATTATCAACTGAATCAACCCATGTCCTCTCCTACATATTTTATTAGAAGTTGAAAATGTTGTAAAGAATTCAATTTCAATGAAGTAGTTCGGTCCAATTATATAAACATTGTTATAGTTTTTTTTTTTTTTCAAAAGGAAAAAACCCTACAACAAGAAGAAAAAGGAGAAGTTAGGGTCGAACCCCAACCTTATGTCTTCTTATTCTTGGCCACTAGGCCAAGTAACATGCGTACTTAAGTACTTGATTCAATATTAAACATGTCTTTTTCTTTAAAAAAAAAATTAAAATTCGCATTCCACATTAAAAAAGATTTTCAATTAATTAAGCAAGTATTTGCATTTAAATTTAGCTAATTTAAATATATTTTAACAAAAATTGAGTGATACAAAAAAAATTCAAAACTTTCATATATTCTATTTCAATAAATTATTATTGATGTTGTTGTTTAGTTCAAGTATAAATCCTTTTCTGTATTTTAATGAAACCTTTATAGCAACTTTTATAATTTTTGTCTGCTTGAAAGCTGATCTAACCTTAATTTATAATTCCACGTGATAAGCGAACAGCTTTGATGGACTTACATATGATCCATTCGAATAATATTATTAAAATTTGAGATGAAATCATCATCTTGCTTTAATTAATTTTTTTAAATAGTTATTTTTATATTAATATTTTAAAATATTATATTCCCATCAATCGTGCAAACCCTGGGATTCTAATTAGAGATAAGGGGAATAAAATTTTAGCCAAAAAAACTGATGACTGTAATTAATAATGGGGTACATGAAAGCAACATTTGATGATGAAGATTTATTTATTTGATTTTTTTTGCTTTTTTTTTTTGGTCGGATCCATTTAATTAATGGGCCTTTTGTCCCTCTATGACCGGCATGAAACTCTTGAAAGAAAAAACAAAAT